ATATTAAAAAATTTAGTCTCTATCTAATAATTAATATTATATAACCTTATATAATCCACACTACATAATATTTTTTGGTTAAAACTTTATTTTAGTCTTTGAACTATTGTACGAACCTCCAATTTGGTTCTTAAACTTAAAAAATCTTTGATTTGATCCTTACTGTTTACCATTTTTACCCTGATTTGGCATTCCGTTAAAAATCTAATGACGAGGCCTATTATTTCATTGTTACAAGATGACATGTCAAATATTAATACATGTGGAAGACAATATGACAAAAAGTGATGACATGGAAAAATAATAATATAAAAAAATTAAATAAAGAATTAAAAAGTAAATTCCCCTCTTTTTTTTTTCTTTTTCCTTCTCTTTCCCTTTCTCTTTCCCCTTCGAACCTAGGCGTTGGGTTCAGTGGAACCCAATGTGCCTAGGTTCCAAGGAACCCAGCATGCCTGGGTTTGATGGAACCCAGGTGCGGGTTCCTTAGAACCCATGTGTTGGGTTTGGTGGAACCCAGTGTGCCTGAGTTTGATGGAACCCATGCGCTAGGTTGCTTGGAACCCAAGTCCTGGGTTCCATCGAACCCAAGATTTTTGGGTTTGAGTTCTATTTCTTTTTTTTGATTGATGAAGATGAAGAATTGATTGATGAAGAAGGTAAGGTAAGGAAGTGGAAGGAGAAAGAAATGGTGTTGTTGGGTTTGATTGAACTCAAGTGCTGGGTTCGAAAGAATCCATCAGCAAAAAATTTTTAAATAAAATTTTGTTTATTTGGTGAGTTTTATTGTTTGATGATGATGATGATGAACTTAGTAAGAGTAGAAATTGGTTGAAATGAATAGATTGGTTGAGATCTTGGAGTTTGCAGGGGGTTTGCAGAAGTTGAAGAAAAGGTAGATGAAAGAGATGAAGGAAAAAAAAATTCTTTTTGGGTGGGATGAGTTGGAATGGTTATGTCATTTATTTTTGCTAACTTGGCAATTTTTTGTGTGACATGTAATGTTTTTTTTGTATTTGGCCGTCAATTAATGTGAAAAATTAATGGAAGGACCAAATCGGGATAAAAATGGTAAACAATAGGGACCAAATCAAGAATTTTTTAAGTTTAGGGATGAAATTGAGGGCCTATATAATAGTTTAGAGACCAAAATAGGTTTTTAACCTATTTTTTTTCATAATTTTTGATAAAAATCTTGAAAAAGAAAGGAA